TTGTAAATTTTTATGTTTATTGATCGATGAAAAAAGAACATATTTTTTGTGCTGCTTATTCATGCATATGATTAATAGCATAATTATTGTATGTCTATTTTCAAGGTTGTACTCATGACAGTTTTGAGTAAATATATATATAATTGCTTATTTTTCTATGAGAGAGGACACAAGTACTCGTTATTGCATGATTGTTACAAGAAAAGAACGCAAGAAAAAAATCAATTGACTACTATATAAATATACCCCCATGTACTCATTTTTTTTAGAGTATTCGATAAAAGCAAAACAAAAATCAAGATGGCTGACTCCCCATTTACTTATAAGTCAGTAACGGATGAAGACTTGGAAATGTTCACCAAGGTAAATAAATATATTCATTTTATGCATTTTCTTTATTGGTACATCATTTTTTTTAGCATAAGAATACTATTAATAGTGAAGTCCGAAAAAAGCATCCATCAATTCCGGCTAATTTTGAGCTGAAACCAGTACGTGTTCGTCACGTTCCAGCCTGTGGCACGATTCATGATTTCAAAGTACAAAAAAACAAATTATTCGATATTGTATTAAGCACTTATTTCATATGAATATTTTAGATCGCTCTACCTGATAATCAATTCGTCAAAGTTTCCTGGATCACAGGCGCAATGCAGATGTATCCACCAGGCGAAAATCCACCTGAACATCCACCAGAGCCTCATATCAACGTTGACGATACATTAACATCAACACCTGATGACTAATCTGCTTTTTTTTATTTTCGATTGACTATTATCTTTTCATAGACTTTTGTAACTAGATATGATTAAACGTATGTCATTCTAATTTTGGAGTGTGGGTGTGGGTAGATCGTGCATGTTAAAGTACAAAAAATAGTGAACATTTAGATTTCCAGTAGAAATCAAATAAATATGAAAAACTAAGATATCGTTCATTAGGTTAAATGAATAAACTACTAGCAGTGAAATGAAAATTACTACATTGTGATTTGCTGATATATTTCAATGTCTCGAGCAATATTATAAATTAAACGCTAAATATCATATTTAGTATACATTATGGAACTTCACATACGTGTTTATTAAAACTTAATTTAAAGCAACGAAAACAGGCCTGGCATCCCACCAACATTTTGTAAAAAAAGAGGAGAAAAATAGGCATACAGTTTTCATCCGAAGAAAACTAAAACCCACTGGCACAATATTACTATAAATCCGACAAAACTCGTACCTTATCAATATAGGTTGAATATGACTTGAAAGAGTAAAAAAGAAACGAAACTTCCAATTGTTCATAGAGATTTTTGTGCAATTGCTTATGTATGCATTAGAAAACGGGATAATACTAGAAAAATAGTCTATTCTATTTGTGTAGCATCTGACTATAATATTACTCTATCTGACTAAGTAGGTACACAGAAACAAAAACGATCAGAATTTATTAAATATTTTTTTTGCTTTTTGTTCCTTTTTTCAGATGACTCTGCATGTTAGAAAGGTATTTTTTTGTTTTTTTCAATTTTCAGCAATTACACCTCTTAACTAGTATAACAAGTAGATGCAAGATTTTCCATATTGCTTAGTCTTCATAATGAGAAAAAATCATATTTGTATTACCGTTCAATTGAGATGCTTCGAAAATAACAGAAGAATGTTATAGAAAGGTAGTACTTTTTTTTTTAATCTTCGGAGCTAAATTAGAACACCACGCGCTAACTTTTACACTACTTTTTTAGATGTATCTCGTACAGGTTTTGTTGCTCTATTGAATCCATAAGAGTTTTTTTTGTCGACCTATGCCTTTTACAAAATTTTTTCTATAAAAAACCACGAAAAAAGACATGAAAAAACATATCTATCAAATAGCGCATTTATTATTTTTTTTCTGTAAAACAATGTAGTGACATTTTTTCAATTTATTTTCATTTTAATTGTTCATATCCGAAATAACTGAAGCAAGTCAGATCTTGGAATCTGCCTGATCTTGAGATGGTTCAATCTCCGTCAGACTGCTTCAGAGTAGTCTTCTCTCAATCATCGATCGAGATTAGCATGTTCTCGAATGATCAACACTCGAGAAATAGTTTTAAAAAACAACTATGTTGAAAATGTATGTTTTGTATGTGCAATCACGTTGTTTATATATGGCTCTATCTGCATTAAAAAACGATGAATGACTAGTCAGCATGTAAACACTAATGATGTCGCTCTTTTACTCAAGATCTTGTGAGAAGATAATAGAAAACGATATCTTTGCTATGATCTTGACAATATCTTAAATACAGATTTATCTGATGCAACCAAGATATTCCGTACAAATTATCTTTTCAAGATCTTATGAAGATCTTGCTTACAAGATGTTCGACTAGGGGAGGTTTCTTTACACGCTCTTTCATTTACGATCATAAAAAAGATAGATCAAAATTTTTTGTATGACAAAGATTTTTCGAGTGAGTCATGGATCGTCTCTTAATACGTTGTATTAAAAAAAACAGAATATAGCACAATATGTAACGTGAAGAGCTCCATAGTTTCCATAAGACCGTTTATTTTATAGTTGTACTTTTTGTTTTCAAAACAGACAAAATTTTGAGCGACATATTTTCGAAGATCGTTGGATTAGATTTCTTTTACTTTCTTCGATTTGAACAGATCTGGGAACAACATAATAATAGTTGTAGAGGTCCTCTGGTATTGCTGATTACCGATCATGACGATATAGACCTATGATTGGTTGATACTTATACGAGTCTCACATTAACAAACAACAACTGAGAGTAATTACAGCTTTTCTTTTTGCAGATGAAGAAAATGTTAATCTGAAATTTGTATACACAGAGTCAAATATGAGAGAAGTATTTAATTAATCCTTTTTGATCGATAACGTAGACTTACGATGATGAATCACTCATCCGCGATATTATACTTAATTCTAATAAACAGAACACAACATTTTCTTCGTCTGTTCTATGAAAGAACAGGACAAAGATGGTAATCATTGGGGTTACTAAGTGCCACTAGAAACGGCAAGCAGTCGTACTAGTGACGTTTCATTTCCAAACAAATGTAATATCTACTAGTTGCCACAAATATTACTGCGTCGCGAACAGTACTCAGCAGTATAGTGTTTGTTGTTCTTCATTTTGACGTCGGGCTGTACAATCAGAAATTGTACTTATAGGACATATTCTAAATGTGTATATCTCGATTGTAGAAAATACTTTTATTCATGTCTTCTACGAGTAGTCTATCGCTTCTCACGATACCAGTCGAGCTTATCTATCATATTCTTGACCAACTCGAAGTTTATACTATTATCATTTCGCTACGCAATGTATGCACAAGACTGAATGATATCATAGACAATTACCAACGATATAAGGTACAGTAAAGCTTCTCACATCGGAACACCTTTGGTGCCAACGAAAATCCTTCACATTAGCAGAGTGACCATTTAGAAAAGGATTGATACGAATATGAAGAAACGTCAGTGTTTTTATGCAGATTTCTTCTGGTTTAATACTCAGTTCTAATTAATTCAATCTGAATTCGCTTTTAGAATGGTGAAAGAGTAATGTCGAGGATTATTACATGGAATTTGACTGTCGAAAAGTATGATAATGGTCAAATTTACAATGTGATTCCACTGTTGAATTCTTGAACTATACTTCCATATATACTTTACATGAGACTTCATTACGTTACTAGAATTCGTACGACTATTTCATCTTGGAGCGTAATATTTTCGATGTTTTCTGATCTTCCACAGAATATAGACAAGAATGGTATCTCTCTCTGACGAATCTTAGGACGAACCAATCAAATGTAGAATGTTGTCTCACTGACACATGGCGCCACACCTTATTGTTCATATTATAGAGATTACGTTCAGAGATCAGAGGTTGTTCAGTGTAGCAGAATGATCACTTAGGAGAAGTGCTTAATAAGAGAGATTTGACTATATGTCTGAGCGGTTCTTCTTCGTTGTATAGCACGAACTCAATCCTAGAATTGAATGCTTACCGATACTAAAATGTGAATGAACCGACGAGTACAATCTGTTGTATAATTGGTCAAGATTGAAAGGAGATAAGTTCAGAGAAATACGCCGTACTTACTCTCTCGTGTCTATCGTAATAGTGAACAAAGATTTCAGCTATGGAGAAAAAATAACACATTAATATTAGATTATTCACAGCAACAGTGGATAATGTGAATAATAATGTTTCAACTATTCTATATTATGAGCAGATACAGATCATACATCTATTACATTTTCGTGAATTCAGTCTCGATCGTTTCATCTAGGAATTCACCAAACTTAATCTTCAAGAGCGAAAAATCGATGTACTAGAAGCTCAACATCTAGCCAATGCGTTACGAAATAACAACGTGAGATCTCTTCTGTTTTTCTCTATCTTATCAATATTGCCATCGGATTACATAGACTATCAATACTCTTATAATCGAGCAAAGTCAAATCGGAGACGATGGAACAGAATATCTGGCTAAGGCATTGATGGAAAACACGGTGAGACATTCTCTCTCTCTCTTTCGTAGTCTTAATGTCTTGTTTTTCTTTCTTTTGCTTAGACACTGACTGAACTCATTCTGAGAAATAGTCATATTGGACCAGTTGGTGTAAGATCTCTGGCTGATATGTTGAGATACAATAATGTAAGAGAAATTGTCTCTTCATAATAATTTCGAATGTTTCACCCTACAGATACTAACGACACTCGAAGTCGGAGGTAATCGCATTGGAGATGTTGGAACACGTCATTTGGCTAATGTATTGCGTAGTAATACGGTAGGAAACTTTAGATCTATATTCACTTGATGTGCTTGTACTTTGGTACTAAGACAATGACTGTACTCGAGCTAGCACACAATCAAATCGGAACTGTTGGAATACAATTGATGGTTGATGCATTGAAGCACAACAAGGTTAGAATAGAAAACAGTTGATTCATTTGTCTAATATGGTTGTTTTCTTTGATGCAGACACTCACGACGCTCAGACTTGGTGGAAATTTTATTGGTGCCATTGAAGCAGTAGAACTTGCTGATCTAATTATAAATAATATAGTACGAAGACTGATCTTTTCATCGTTATGATATTGTTATGATCTTTAAAACAGACACTCACCACACTCAGTCTTGGAGGGAATCAAGTCCGAGATAATGGTACAGAGTATTTAGCTGATGCATTGGTACATAACACGGTAAGAGATATTCCTATTTTCTTTTCTATTAATATGCATTTGCCTTTTGATATTTTCTGGTGCAGACATTGACGACACTCACCCTCGGAAGTAATCAAATTGAACACAATGGAGCCCTACATCTAGCTAATGTGTTAAAGCAGAATCGAGTGAGAAAAATTCTCATAATTCTTATTGTCTATTTGAATGTCTGAAATACAGTCACTCACCGCAGTCAATCTAGAAAAGAATCGTATCGGAACAGACGGTAGTCGACACTTAGCTGATGCTTTGAAGAACAATTCGGTGAGCATATCCATGGTGTCGATGATTAAATATTTATTCTAGTACATTTTTTAATGCAGACACTAGCGACACTCAACCTTGGAGGAAACCGAATTGGGCCCGATGGTGCACAGTATATCGCTGATGCATTGAGATATAATACAGTAATAAAAGAAATCTTTTAGTCTATCTGAAAAGCTTATGGTTTTTTTGGTGTAGACGCTCAAATCACTGACTCTTGGACGCAATGAAATCGAAGATTTTGGGTTAGAACAAGTGGCTATAGCATTGTGGCATAATAGAGTGAGAGATTCTAACTTCTTTTCTGTTGGATAGTCTTGGATTCTCTGACATAGACACTTGAAACGCTCGATCTCAGATGGAATCAAATCAGTGCTGATGGGTTCGAACAACTGGCCAATGCGTTGAGACACAATAGGGTATGCGAACGAGTTTCGTTATCAGTCGAAGATCATCTTGTTTGTTTTCAACATAGACACTCACAACACTCAATCTCTTCGGCAATGAAATTGGAGATGTCGGCATAGAACATCTGGCTGACGTATTAAGACACAATCAGGTTAGAGCAGTTCTCTCATCGTATATCTGAAATTCAGGTCTCTTCGTTGATATAGACTCTGACGACACTCTATCTCGCATGGAATCAGATTGGAGACGCTGGCATACAACATCTGGCTGATGCATTGAGAAACAATACGGTGAGAAACTAATACTTTTCATCTTACTGGTAATTTTATTTTGTCTGATTTGATTAAGACACTCACCACTCTTGATCTTCAACGGAATAGAATCGGAGACATGGGAGCACAGTTCTTCATCGACGTATTGGTCAATAATACAGTAAGAGAAATAATCTTCTTTGTCTCGTACTACTGTATCATCTTTAAAATAGACACTAACCACACTCGAACTCTATGTCAATCCGATCACATATCAATTACAACAGCAAATTAGATATCTACTGAGAAGAAATAATAGATGATAACATGATCGTTTTACGAATCCCGATTTTCACATCATTTAATTGACTATAACCCTCGGGAAGAATTAATTTACGGAATGTGAATCATAAAAAAAAATGCGAAAATATTCTTTAATATCTTATATAGCAGTTTTTGTGACTCATTTTGTAAGGTACACCTAATGACTAAATCAAACAAAAATATTTTTGACTGGATAAAACCTTGTAAATACGTGTTTTGTTTATTTTCTGGAATCAAATATTGGTTGATCAATCACATGAGCATCATCGTATTCTTTCTGCACCTTTTCTCACCATTGCATTCAAGATTCTCTGCTCAATTTTTTAAAGCACGACACCAAGAGTCCAGAAGTTATTGTTTTTTCTCCAGTATCAATAACTTATCACTTACATCGATACCGACGCGCACATCCATTGCTCACTGCATGTATGACCAAACGGAAGACACAGCAGTGTCGGGAGTGAAACAATAAAACAAATACATAGTGGAGTCGATTACCTTTCTAGAAATGTATAATTGGTGAGAATTTTCTGATGATTTTCAAATAAGATCATTTTAGCCAGCCTATAAGTCCCTATCCTTTTAAAACTTTTATATCATTCTATGTATATGAATATCCAAAAAAACTTCCAAATCGGTCAAACAACAACAGATTCTTTTTATTATTCCTATGAAATAATTTATCCAAAAGTGATGAATTTTATCATCTATACTTTCGGTATAATCTTCGCATAGACGATTTCAAATTGGAACATGAAATCTGCAATATTGTTTGCAATATTCATCGACTACTCGACATCCTGAGGGTGGGTGCATAGATGAGGATAGGTGTCAGGAGCATGAAGAGAAAAACATCATCCGCCCTTCAAATGGAACGATTGTTTTTAATACTGGGTATTCGATTACTCATGTTCATGTCAGTTCAATTTTAATTTATTAAGAATTATAGGGAGTGAAGTTACGTTTATTTTTAATCATAAACAATAATATTATTGAAACGAAAAGGGTGGGGTGTGGGTGTGGGTGTAAGTCTTCTCTGATTCCACACCCACACCCTTTATAAAGAGTTCGTAAATAG